CGGTTGTTTTGTTCCCTCCCGCTTTCCCTTGCAAAAAACACTATAAAATGACATTTCTTGTTCTAATATAATCAAATTTCAAGAATCCCTTGCAAAAATAAGGTAAAGTGGACATTCGCGCGCGCAAGACGAAATCCTTCCAAAACCTTAGTGTTCGCAGCGATTTTAACATAAAAACATCAAAAAACCAATGGTTTTTCAACAAAAAAATGTCAAAATCTCATCCCGCGCGCTCTTGCGGATTCGTAGGAAACCCAACACTTTTTAAACATTTCTGTCAAACGGGCTTTTGCGAGCAACTTTTTCGAACTTCTGCGACAACGGTTGCGCACCTGCCAGGGCCATCATCCCTGTCAAATAATACCATGCGGGACACATTCGTTTTTTCTTCGCGCGCGCACGCCGTCGTCGTCGGCCGCGGGGCCCTGAATAGTAGCCACGGTCGTCCGCATGCCACGAAGTGAAGTGTCCGAACGTCATAGGGCGGGAAGCTGGGTGTGGGTGGTGGCGAAGAGTCGTTTGGAAATTTGGTAGAGCTTGAACCGGCCCCCCCACAAAGTGGGGGTATTGCCCGCCTCCTATGAAAACCCTGGCACTGGTGAGAACGGAGTGTCCCCAGTCTAAAATGATTGTTGTTGTTGTTGTTGTTGTTGTTGTTGTTGTTGTTGTTGTTGTTGTTGTTGTTGTTGTTGTTGTTGTTGTCGTTCTTGTTCTGCTGCTGCTGCTGCTGCCGCTGCTGCGCCGGCTGGCTGGCTGGGTGCTGCTGCTGGCTGCTGCCGCTCTTGTTTTTTGTTCCCCCTTCTGTGGCTCTGGCCTGCTGTGATTGCTGCCTCGTCGTGGACTGCCCTGGTGCTTCTCGCGAACACGCCACGTGCAGGCCCGACGGCCAGCCCGTTGCCTCTGGACTCCTCTTCTCTCCCGTGGCCGCGATGGCGACGACGAGGGGGAGGAGGAGGAGGAGGAGGAGGAGGAGGACGACGACGACGACGACTACGTCGACGACGACCACGAGTCGACGACGACGACGACGACGACCACGACGACGACGACGACCACGAGGTCGACGAGGTCGACGAGGTCGACGACGACGACGACGACGACGACGACGACGACGACGACGACGACGACGACGACGACGACGACGGAGCCCGCTGCCGCGCGCTTTTCTCCCGTGGCCGCCTCGGCTCGAGGAGGGCGCCGCGGGGGCGCGCCCGCGGCTCCGCCGCGCAGGCCGCCCCCGCTGGCCGCCGTGCGCGCGGGGGGCGGTCGCGGCGGGCGCCGGACGAGGCATCGCCCACAGGGCGGCTACACGTACCCCCATGATCCTCCTCCTCCTCCTCCTCCTCCTCCTCCTCCTTCCCCTCCCCCTCCTCGTCCTCCTCCTCCTCTTCCTCCTCCTCCTCCAGGTATTTTTGGATTCCCAGATTCCAATCTACTTTCAGCGCCTTCCTACTTCAAGAGTCGAGTGGTTTTCCCTCTTCCTTCCTCCTCAGGAGGCGGGCGGGAACCCAATCTATTTCCAACGCCTTCCTACTTCATGTTTCTACCTACTCCTTCCGACCGATGGGTACCCCCATGATGTGCTTGGCGCGACCCCCACCCGAGGATGCGAGGCGGGATCCTCAGGGCGCATCGGCACACTTTGGGGCCCACCGGCCCCGGCATGCCGCGGTCATTCCTCGAGGGCGCGAGGCGGGACAACCCGGGGAGCACCCGCACGTTCTGGGCCTGGCAGCTGCGGTGTGCAGGTTTTGCGAGGCGTGTCGGGATATCCTTGCTTTAGGTCATAAGCTGCCCCGACCTGTCGGATGGGGAACATGCGTACTCCAGATTTCGTAATAAAGGGAGGGGGGTCTCATTTCGGGGGGGGTCTCTTCCAGGCTATCTTGGAGGGCCTGGGGGGGTCTGGGGACGATGTTTTGGAGGGTTCTCCCATGGGGGGGGTCTGAAATGGCTTGTCTTGGAGGGTCAAGACCCCCTCCCTTTTATTACGAAATCTGGAGTACCCATCGGTTGTTGAAAGTGTGTATTTTTGGAGTCCCAGATTCCGACGCGCTTCAGGCGCACTCCTGCTTCTAGGAGCGGTTGGCTCCACCCGCTCCGTCCTCTTGAGGGGGCGGGCGGAGACACAATCTATTTTCAACGTCTTCCTACCTCACGTTTCCACCTGCTTCTTCCGACCGATGGGTAAGAGTGGCCCTTCGCCAGAGTGACCTTCGGTGCGCGCTCGCTGGGGCCCCCCCGATAGCGGCTGCCTGCGCGCTTGGAGCTGGCCTCCCTGCGCCCCCCTCATCCGCGCACTAGGAGTCACTCTTGCCCAGGTCCATTCTTGCGTGTAGCCGAGCCTGTCGAAAAGGGGACCGACGGCAGAATTGATTTGCCCCAGACTTGCTTTGTCGTCGTGCCTACGAGGCGTACGTAGCGTGTTCGGAGATGCGACGACCGTGATGCGATTTTTGCTCGCAGACTCGACGGGGGAAGATCAATTCTGGGGTACATCGATTTTGCAGTCGATCCCCTGTTTGAACATTCAGAGGAGGAACATGCACCGACAGCGCTACCCTCGCCTCGTTTTCGCCTTTCTCGGCCTCCTGGGAGGCCCTCGTCGCCAGTGTTGGGATCGTCTCGAAATTCTTGTCAGAACGCAGCCGGAAGAGGTCCTGGGAGAGGCGGTATTGGTACCTGTTGGTTCCCCCCCACACATGGACGGCGTCCGGCTGGTGCAGTCCTGCTTCCGCGGCGACGCCGAGCACGTCGCCGAGGCCTGCGGGCGAGACTTATATCCATTCCCACGGCGTCTCGGTGTTTTGGGGAAGGTACGCCAAAATCCCGAGTCGAGGTGGACATTCCTATTCTCACGTGTGTGCCCTTGACCCCACTGGCCGACTTATCCACCGAGGTGGGGATACATGCCATCTCCTTCGGGCTTGAAGGCGCAGGTGAGCTGGTGGGGCTGAGGCACGACGGCGGCCACTCCCCTAGAAATAAATCTGGCCTCCCCAGAGATCCGACGTCGCGAAACAGTTGCAACTCCGCGATAAATCACGACCTGAGCCCTGCACCCCATCAGTCTGCGGCACTTGCAGAGCTGGATCGACCTGTGATGGTCCCAGGGCCCGCAAACCGGCGAACACGCCCAGTGTGAAACATTTGCCGCGCCCAGATCTCAGGGTTTTCACAGGTGTTCCCGGTACGGGCTCCAGCCCAGGGTTCTCTTTGTGTTGGCGGGCCTTTCTTCTTGTGCCAGAGGGGTGTACCAGAAGAGTGCGGATGGGGGGGTCTCCAACATGCGTCGCGGCGTGAATGCGTTTGGCATATGAGGTGGGGGACACGACATGTGCCTGGCGCGTGCGAGCGGGGCACGTCTTTTCACGTTTCCACGGCCCCCAGGCGGGACCGACTTTCGAGCCGGCGGATATCTGTACACGCAGAGATGCGTGCGCGGAGGGGGTGGGACCCGTGCGCCTGGCGCGTACTCGCGGGGCATGTTTTTTCACGCGTCCATGGCCCCCAGGGGGGGTCCAATCTGTTGGGGGCCCACTTCTATGTACTGAAATGCGTGCGCGGGGGGGGACCCAGCATGCACCAAGCGCGTGCGCCGAGGGCACGTGTTTTCACGTGTCTGCGGCCCCCAGGGGGGGACCCAGCTTGAGGCCGCTCAGCAAAGAGAGACAGCAGGCATGATGCTGCTGCTGATGATGATGACGATTTATACTGATGATGATGCTGGTGCTGCTGATGAAGATGATGCCGATGATGACGAGGATATGATTATTGTGATGATGATGATGATGATGATGATGATGATGATGATGATGATGATGATGATGATGATCAAGCTGATGATGATGATGGTGATGACAAACACGATGATGTTGATGTTGATTAGTATGCTTATGATGATGATGATGATGATGGTGGTGGTGGTGGTGGTGGTGCTGGTGATATTACTTTTATTGTTATTATTGTTAGTTAGTGCTATTCTTGTCATTCTTATCCTTATGCTGATCTCAACGACGACGATGGCGGCGTCGACGGCGACGACGACGATGATGGTGAGGATAATGTTGCTGATGATGATGCTGCTGATGATGATGATGACGATACTGATGATGATGTTGATGATGATGATGCTGATGATGATGATGATGATGATGATGATGACGCCGCTGCTACTTCTGCTGATCTCTTGATGATGAGGATGGGGGTGGTGGTGGTGGTGGTGATGGGGGTGTCTGTGGTGGTGGTGGTGATGATGATGATGATGGTGGTGGTGGCGTGATGATGATGCCGATGCCGAATATTATGATCATAATCTTTAATGTTCTTTGGTGCTAATAGATTCATTATCGGTTATTGATGGCGACGACGGCGATGGCGGCGGCGGCGTTGGCGGCGGCGACGACGACGACAGCGATGATGATGATGATGATGATGATGATGATGACGATGATGGCGCTGCTGTGATTTCTGCTGCTGCTGCTAATGATGATGATGATGATGAGAGTGGTGGTGGTGGTGGTGTCTGTGATGGTGGTGGTGATGATGATGATCATGATCATGATGATGCTTTTGACGACGTTGACGCTGATGATGATGACGATGAGTAGGATGATGGTTCTGTTGATGATGATGATGATGATGACGGTGATTATGATGATAATGATGATGATGATGATGATGATGATGATGATGATGATGATGATGGCGGTGGTGGTGGTGATGGTGATGACGGCAACGACGACGGCGACGATGACGACGATGATGATGGTTTGAGGATGATGATGATGTTGATGGCGATTCGGATGATGATGATGATGATGATGCGGATCAGCTCCTGCTGCTGATGTTGTTGATTAAATTGATCATGATCATGATCATGATGATGATGATGATGATGAGGATGAGGATGATGATGACGATGCTGATGAAGATGATGCTGTTGTTGATTATGTTCTTGATTCTGACGACGATGCTGATGATGATGATGATGATGATGATGATGATGATGAGGATGATGAGGATGATGATGATGATGAGGATGATGAGGATGAGGATGATGATGATGATGATGATGATGATGATGATGATGATGATGATGATGAGACGAGAAGGTGGAAGAAGGGCAGGAGATAATGGTGACAGTCCAGAAGAGGGAAAGTGTAGCACGCGTGCCAGCAGAATTTTTGACTCAAATGGATACCGCAGGTTGTCCATGTCCACTGCGCTCTGGGTCTCCCGGGAGGGGTGCCCGAAACTCTGGAGCGCCGTGGCCGTGGACATCAATCAGTTCAGTATCGTCAAACCTATCTTCATCCCCACGTGGCCATGGCGCCTCAGCCACACCATCCCACCAACCCGGTCGGGAACGGGCCCCCCGAAACCCGAAGGGAGCAGCCTATACCCCACCCAGGGGGGTAAATCTGCCCGCGGGGCCCAGGCCACGCCAGCGGGGATAGGTATCGGTAAAACGATGCTCATCGTGGGCGCCAGTCGCCGAGGGCGGCAGCGCCAGACGACGACGACGACGACGACGACGACGACGACGACGACGACGACGCTGCTCATCGGCCCTCTCCGCCGAGGCTCTGCGCGCGCGCGCGGACCCGCAGCGCGCGCAACCGCCCGACGGCTACACGCCGCTGCTCGCGGCCGCCTCCGCGGGGCACGCGGGGGCGGTGGCGCTGCTGCTGGGGGTCCGCGCCGATCCGTGCGCGGCCGAGCGGGCGGGGCGCAGCGCACTGCTGCTCGCCGCGGCCCACGCGCACCTGGGCGTGGTGCGGCTGCACCGGCGGGGTGTGTCCACGTCCACGGCTTCGGAGGAGCAGGAGGAGGAAGGGGAGGAGGAGGAGGGGAAGGACGAGGAGGAGGAGGAGGAGGAGGAGGAGGAGGAGGAGGAGGAGGAGGAGGAGGAGGAGGGGGAGGAGGAGGAGCTACACCAGCGGAAGACGTTGCGTTGCATGTTCGGGGGGCCTTTCTTGTCCTGTGAATGGCTGCCTTTTCTCCTATTTTTGCGTTGGCTCGGCGCGGACTTGTCGCAGATTTGGCGTGGATTCGACATGCTTCGGCACTGGTTCCACGCGGATAGCGGCGCGATAGGACAGACAAGGTCCCCCGAATATGCAGCATAAACTAAGTCCACGTCCACTGGCACGGAGTCTCGCCCTGGTATCTCGAGGATCCGCGGACGACTCTTGTGCACCGTGCCGCGTTGGCGTCTCCCGAGGCGAGGAATTGCAACGGTGCGTAATTTCTCGGCTCCCGAGAGCTGGGCTGCTGCGCACCGTGCCGCGCGGGAGCTGGGCCCGCAAAGGGGGTCCAAACATGTCACGGTGCATGGGTGCGGTTCTCACGGGGGGGTGGTTCGAAGAGCAGAGAACGGCAGAAACACGATTTCTCGGAGGCCCGCGCCTCCTCCTCCTCCTCCTTCTCCTCCTCCTCCTCCTCCCTCCTCCTCCTCCTCCTCCTCCTCCTCCTCCTCCTCCTCCTCCTCCTCCTCCTCGTACCCTCTTCCTCCTCCTCCTCCTCCTTCTCCTCCTCCTTCTCCTCCTCCTCCGCCTCCTCCTCCTCCTCGTCCTCCGGTGACAGGCCCCCCTGGAGCTGTTCAACTACTTCTACGTCGGCTTGGCTGGAGAGCCCACTCGGCGACTTCCTGGACTACGGGAAACGGAATGGAACTCGACTTGACTGACACGTCGCCGAAATGGGTACGCGGCGTGGCAAGGCGCAGTTATCGTAATATGTAGTGGGAAGACTGGTCCAATCGGCGAGAGCATGCACCTGAGCTTCCACCAGCCCATCGTGATCCGCGAGGCTGCTGGATAGAGTCGATCGCGGCTATGCTACACGCTGATGTTGATGCCGCTCATTGGAACTTGAGTATGCGTGCGATGGGGGCGCTTCGCTCCACCGTCATCGGAGCCCAGTGGACACAGCAGCGCCTCTACACCATGGGCTATGTGATGGACCCCAACTGCGTCTACTGCCAGGACTGCTGCGGCCATCTTCATCATCGACTTTGGTCATGCCCCAACCTCGCCGACATAAGGACGGAGGCGGTGGACCAGGCCATCCGACGGCGAGCTCTTGCTGCCCCGCCCAGCGACCTCTTCTACGCGAGGGGCCTATTGCCCCGTGCTGCACTACCTGAGCTGCCCCCGCCAGCCGACACGGAGTCATGGTACTACTGCATGGGTGGCCAGGGCATGACGATCACGGGCGAGATCTTCACTGACGGGTCGGCCAGGTGTCCGCTGCACTGGCCAGAGGCCAATCGCGCTGGCTGGGGCATCGCTGTGATGTCCAGTATGCGCCTGCTGGGAATGGCGTGCGGCCCGCTGCCAGGGCCGCAGCAGACGGCGCAGCGGGGCGAGCTGTACGCCATCATTCAGGTGCTCAAGCATGGCCTGCTCCCGATGCACATCAAGACCGACTGCCTGGTCATCGTGGAAGGCCTGGAGCAAGGCAAGAGCGCCACCACGCATCCGAGGAAGGACAACGTGGACCTGTGGCGCCAGCTGTGGCGCGCGCTGGAGGACCAGGGTGGCCTGAGCAGCGACCTTCGCATCAGCTGGGTCAAAGGCCACCAGACCTTCCTGGAGTCGGGAGAGTCGCCCGACAAGATCGGCAATGACTACGCCGACATGGCAGCGAAGAAGGGCTTAGGCATCCACGCCGAGCAGATCACATCTACAAGCGCCACGCGGAGCTCCTGGACGAGGTGCGGCAGGTGGCGGCCTGGATAGGCACCAGCCAGGCGCAGCTGGAGGCGCGGCCCGCGGACAGGGAGCCGACCCTGGGGCGCCGCGGGCGGGGGGCCCAAGGTGGGCGCCGAGGCGGCCGCGCTGACGGCGGCGGCGACGCGGTCAGGCGGCCTGGCAGAGCTGCCGAGGGACGGTGGCTCGAGAGGGTGAGCATGAAAAAGCGCGCGCCAGTCCCATGCCAGCGCGGCTGGCGATGCGCTCACTGCCCCCGATCTGCTCGCTCCCTGGCGGGTCTGGATCGCCTTCGACGAGGCCGATGCCAGATCCGACCCGATTTGGCCCGCGGGGAGTGGGACCCTGGGGTCGGCGCGCCCAGGAAGCGTCCGAGGGATGAGGACCAGGAGCCCATTCGGGCCTCCAGGTCCCGCGGCCTGGAGCGACCGGCCCCTGGGGGGCCAAGTGCGCCAGCCAGGCCAGAGCCGATGGCGGCTCAGGGGTTTGGTGAGGACGAAACCCAGGGAGTGGGGAGGTCGCGTCGTCTGGAGGACGTCGAGGGGCAGCAGGAGCAGGATGTAGCAGGTAGGTGTCACAGGGTTGAGCCCCGGGTCACACCTCCTCCTCCTCTGCCTTGGACTGAGCCCCCCTCTTCGGATCCTCCCCGATTTTTAGAGGCTGGCGATGCGTGCCGCAGGGTCGACCCCGTCTGCAGCTCCAGGGAACCATTCGCTGCTGCTGCGTTGCAATCAGATCCCCCCCCCCGCGTCGCCGCGTGGGCTGGAGGGCGCGGGGGATCAACCGCGCTTCGAACCTCGCATGCGCGTCCGTTTTTCTTATGCTCCTGGAGGCCTCTGCCCTCAGTCGGCCATCGTGGGAGCGGTGAAGGCCGCGGCCTCGCGTGGCGTGAAGCGCGCCTGCAGGGGCGCCCCGCCGTCGCTAGCGGACGCGGGCCCCCCTCTGGAGCCTCTGCCGAGGTCTGGGGAGGTCCCGCCCCATAGCGCCGGGGGGCATGTGTTGTACATCTCTGGGGATCTCGTGGGCTGCAGTAAATGTGGGGCTTTTTCGGCCCGCACGGCACGCACTCAGCTCTTCTGGACGTGTGACCCCACGGCGGCCCTCGAGGGGAACCCTCAGCGGAAGTGGAGGAGGGGCAATTTTATGAAGGGCGTCCACCCCAAGGGAGGCCGTTCACCCCCCCTCCCCCTTCCCCGCAGGCTCTTAGTCGCGGACGACGCGGTCCGATGGCTGGGCCTGCTCTCCATATAATCTGTCTCCGGGTGCCGCCGCGGTAGGGATCGCCACTGGCCGAGTGGCGATCCTTACCAAACTGCTGTTATCAGCGCGGTGCCTGTTAGCCATATGCGTTCGTTTTTTTTTTTTTTTTTTTTTTTTTGCAACTCGTCTCTGTCCTGGATTTTCGGCTTGGCCGTCTCCTGGGCGTTCTTCGTGGGGCCTCCTGTCACTGCCGCGATGCTTCGGCTGGGCTTGCAGTGCCCTGGGGCCCGCATTCGTCCTGTGCTCGATTGCGCTCGCTCGTCTCCACTGCTATTGCCCGTCCCGAATCGAACTCGGCGCGTCGCCCGATGGGTTCGCGACTCCTCCTCGTCCTCCTCCTCTTCCCTCCTCCTCCTCCTCCTCCTCCTCCTCCCCCTCCCCCTCCCCCATTATCCTTATCCTTCTCCTCTCCTTCCTCTTCCCCCTCCTTCTCCTCCTCCTCGTACTCCTCATCCTCCTCCATTTTCTCCCTGCACCTCCTCTTCCTCATGCTCCTTCTCCTCCTCCTCCTTCGCGTTCTCCTCCTCCTCCTTCCCCTCCTCCCTCCTCCTCCTCCTCCTCCCCCCCCTCTCCTTCTCCTTTCCCCTTCCCCCCCCTCCTGCCCCCCCCCCCCCCCCCCCCATCTGCTCAGGCAGCCACTTGCTCTTTCCGCGTGCTCTGATGAATGTTTGTGCTGCTTTCTGGGGTGGAACCATGGGCATTCACTGAAGGCGCCGCACCAACTGGAGTGCAGGGTGACGGCGTTGAGGACCTCACTGACTTGCATTGGAGCTGCATGTCAGCGTCAGACGAGCTTCGATTGCATGATAGATCGGAGCAATTCAAATCCATAAACATGATTGCTTTGACGCGTGTTGGGAGGGATGGTGGGATATCAGTCGCGTGCAATGACGCATCTCTCGCATCACATCGCCCTTCGGCGTGGCTACGTCCCAGAATGGCATGTGAATACATCGCGCGGTCCCACCTTGCTTCTTCGACAGCGTACGTTTCGGTTGCAGCATCCTGTAGATTCGCCAGCAGTTTCACGGCAACTACATGGACGCGTGGCCTTGCATCGGGTCAGGTGTGGATGGTTTGATATCCTTTACCCGCTCGCCGATTTCCCGCCCCGCCCATCTCAGCGTTGGGCGGGGCGCGAGAGTACGATGGGCGGGCCCTTTCAACGCTATCGCTCTTCGGTTGACTGTGCGTGCGCGTGGCTTGAAAATTGGTTCACTTGGTCCTGAGCTCGTTCGGCGCTGTTCCAGGATTCGACGTCGACGATCTATTCGGGATCAGACGGAATGAGATTGGACAGCTTGGGCCAATTATTTTCCCAGCGTTGTGTTCTCTCGGGCGCAGCGAACAACGATGTGCAGGGGGTCGCGTTCAAGAGATCTGCGGCACATTTGCCATCATAATGAGCTCGACGAACTCAGCGGGAGGGCGCTGATGTCGGTCACGCGAGCTCCAATGCGATCGATTACGGTGCTGTTTTTTCATGGCGACGTTCCAGTACCACTCGATGCCGCGGCCTTCGGCGGGCCAACCAGCGGCTGAAGTTAGTGGCCGCGCGCGCGCTGCAGGACCGCTTGCCCATCTTGATGACGGCGAGGTGCGCCATTGATCAGCCCCAGTCTGGACTGGAGGGTGCGCGCTGGGACTTTGGCCTACTGTCGCAGGCGCTGAGGCGCGGCGCTGGGGCGCGGGAGTTCATGTTGGATCTGGGTTCGGTTCGCCGAGCAGCCCGACCTTCGCGGGCAACTCCTACGTGCGATGTCTCCCGATCAGGCCTCGCAGGATTGGGCCTCGACTGTCTGCGCCGCGGCTGGGGCATTTTTCGAGGCAGGCGGTGAGGCGATGGAACGGGCTTCTGGAGTTGCGACGGCATCAGCGCGGCATCGGCAGTGGCGACGCTGACTCGTGCATTGCACTCGCTCGTCGATCCCGGCGGCTACGTCAGCAACGGCGGGCCAGGTTGTTTGAGGTGACGGAACAGTTAGTCGTTGAAACTCAGCAGGCGTGGCCGTCTAGACAGCGCACAGGCGTTTGGAGACGCGTGCGTTACTTGCCTGGTCAATGCAAGGGGTCTCGAAAAAAGGAGTGCAATATTGCGGGGGAGTTTGTTCCTCGGGCCTACGAGGTGCGCGCCTGCGTCGCCGGGGGCGGGCCCGCTGGCGGATTGGGGCGGGGCCGATCCAGTGTCGCGTCTTCCATCAATAATGACTGCGGGGGCTGCGTCCTCCGCCCCCGCATGGTGCCGGCAAAACTCATGTTGCGGCGGTGGGGGCCCGTTGGAAACTCGAGCGGGCCTGCGACTTGATTTCTCGGGCTTCGAGACGCAAGGCTGCGCCGCTACGCGGCGTGCCTTCGGAGATTCTCCTGCTTGCGCTTAGCCCAGCTCGCAGATTTGACGGGTTACGTCGACGATCGCGGCGACGGCGTAGTCGCGGCGAGCGCGGTGGCGACAATTGTCATGATCGAGAGGGGCTCTCCAACCGGTATGCTCACAGGCCACTTGTTCCTCGGCGGCGTCGTCTCGGGAGATTTGCGAGGTCTCGGAGCTGCCCCTGAAGCGTGCTCCGCTGTGGCCACCCCGCGTTTCCCCGAGCAGGCCTTCCATCGTGTCCGACGGGTCCAACGGGCTCCTGTTGCGTAGTGTCATTCTAGGGTTGCGGGGCGCGCTGGGGCGAATGGCAGAGAAGGCTTCCAAGCGAGGCGGCGTGTGCTCGGGCCCTGTAAGATGGGCGCGGCGCGGTATGAGGCCCAGCTCCTCCAAGAGCCACCTGACCAGGATGCTTTGCGCGAGAGCGGGTATCTCCCCGGGCGCGTCGCGAGGGGGTAGTGGCGTGCCAAGCGGCGCTTTTCTGGGGGATTCGGAAGAGGGGGTCTCGTCGGCAACGTCGAAGGAGGACATGCCGAATCTGCTTTCGGCTGCTCCACCTTCGACGCTCGCCAGGAGACGGTCCATGACTCCATCTTCCCCAAGTCCCTAGTGCATTTTACACATGGGCGCGAAGCGAGCGCGCTCGTTGTTTGGGCGGCTGGGGGCGAGCGTATTTTGAGGAATTCACGCGAGGCGTTTATGGGCGGCGGTCCGTGCAGAGGTGGCTGGGGGCTCTCGGGGCGCATGCGTGGCGCGATCGACCCTGTCCGCCTCGACCCTGGGCCTGCGATGCGTGGGTCTGCAACGGCTTGCTCCAGCCGCCCCCCCATTCAACGTCGACGTGGATGCGGGTCCGCCCGATGCGACCTGCTCAGCTTGGGCACTTATTATGCTGCAGCTTGTTCTGCTTGCTTGTCGGATTTACGCGGGTAACGCAGGGTGGGCGTGCGTGGTGTCGTCGGCGCTGAATGCGCGGAGTGCGCTTGACATCGCGCGTCGGCGACTTCGCGGGCCCTTGAGATGCGAGCACAACGATGTCAAAAGCGGAGTTTCACCGTCCTTCGCGCGGCCGATGCTTCGCAGGTTCGCCCGTGCCACGTTTTTCGAGGGTGCCGCTTCCGTCTCGTGCCAAGTCCAGTTCGATGGCGTTTCCCTGGGGATCTTGACTTCGGTGAATTGGTGGGTCCGAGGATAGTTCTAACGGAAGATCTCGGCCTGTCTTTGAGGGTCTTACTCCATGGGTAAGTTCAGGACGCGCAATCGAGTGGATATTTGCACGGGCGGTCTTTGGGGCCGTGGTTCAGGGTGCTCTGCGCGCCGGTCTGCCTGCGCTTGCCGAGTTCTCGCGGGGTTCTGTCGGGGGCTCCTGGGAAGGGGGCGCGTGCGAGAAGACGCGGGCCCCGGGGCCCGATGGCGAACCGCTCCTGGGCGACCGGGGGGGGCCTACAATTCAGTGCCAGGCCTGTTCAGATGAGCAGGTATCTCGCGGGTTGGGGGCGGCCCCGACGGGGCTTCGGACAAGAGATTTGAGCTGTTTTCGGACATCTGCCTGTTGGGCCGACCCCGACTATCACGGCTGATCAGGCTCTCGCCACGGGCCCGAACCCACGGGCGTGGAGATGTGCAGTTGATGTGAGTGGGCTGCTGAATCGAGCCGTGGAGCGGGATTCCTTGGACTCGCTCTCTGCGCGTGAGCCTCTGCCTCCAAACCCTTGCCGAATGAATATCAGGGCGCTGTTTTTTTGTCCGTCCCCGTGGTGCGAGATATATTTATTCGGATTGATATGTGTCTGTTGCGGTCGGCTGCGCCCGCTGTGGCCGCGCCGCCGTCTTCGCTCCTATTCGTCGCCGCTGGCTGTCTCAGGGGCTCCTGGAGTTCCGCTTCCGCCCGCCCCGGTGCCCTGGAGATGTGAAGTCGCCGACTCAACGGGAACGGGATGCGGGGGGGAGTTCGCCGCAGAAAGGGTTCTACTGGCGAGCCGAGGGGTCTCGAGTGCGGGGGGCGTGCAACGCGGGGTCGGTGGCGCATGCGATTGCAGTTGCTAGCCAGTGCATGCGCAGCAGACAAACCGTTAAGGCGCGATGGATCGCGCTGGAACACTCGGTGCAAGCAGTGCTGCTGCAGCAGTGCCCTGTGGCATCGATGAATCATCGTGCAGTTAAGCCTCCGACGGAGTTGATCTGCCACTTGTCTTCTCTTTCTGTGGCGTCCCCGTATGGGGGTCGCAGCGCGGGGCTTTGTTGCCCAGCGGGCCTTCCGAATTCCGCGCTTGAGCAGCTTTGTGCGCGCTCAGCTCGGCGCGCGACCGCTCCTCGGACAAAGCGCGTTCGAGGGGGGCTCCGAGCTGCTCGAACAGGCGCGCTCTCACCTAGAAGGTCGGGGCGGTCCAGGGGTGGTCGGGCTGCGAGGGCTCGGCGCATCGGCCGCAGCGCCCCGCCGGCGCGGTCGGCGTCGCGGCGCTGGCCAGCTTCGCCGCGCGGCCCAGCCAGGAGGCGCGGGTGCAGCGGCGGGCGGCCGCTCACAAGTGGTGAAGCAGTCGTTTGGCAAGCGCTGCCGCCTGGAACCCGGCGCTCTACAGAAATTGCCAAGTATGGGCGTTCAGTCGATGGCGAAGATGGTGCCCGTCGTGATGAAGGCTGTTCCTTGCAACGCGCTCCATTTGAAGCTCTTGGCGGCAGCGGAATTTCAGACGTTCCTGATCGCAGAGAACTGCGCGGCGGTCAGGGCAGCGCTCCAAGCGGGCAGGGCATGTGCGACGATGGCAGCAGCAATGCATGGGCCCATCTTGCGCTCTTATATTCATGGTAGTCGCGGATGCGATGCGCAAAGAGGGCGCCGAGGTCGGAGCTCGCAATCGGGCAGCTCGGGGGCGCCGCAAGCAGCACCTAGACGCGATGACCGACCAGAAGGAGTTGACAATGCTCGTCGGATGCGTCTGGATGAGTTCGGCGTTCAAAAAGAATCAAGCGAACCGGGCCATTTCTCCGACGGGCTCGGCGGTGCAGCGTGCTTTCGCAGATTTTGCGATCCAGCCGGGGGTCGACCTGGAAGAAAGATTGGCGCCGAGGTCGAACTTAGAAAGGATCCTCCAGATGGCGATCGACGAGGTCGGGGGTCTTAGATGCGCAGTGCGAGAGACGCTATACGTACGCGATACGCTAGGGACAGAATGGCAGAACTATGCGATATGCCATGGGAAGGGATGCGGCTTCTTCTACTTTACCGAGTGGTTTAGAATTCTACACTACTGGACAACGGTTCAGAGGTGAATGCTGTACCGATTGGAAATTATGGTGGTTTGTCCACTGGTGAGTCAGGGATCCGCCAAGAGTGTGGCGAGGCCCCCACCCCACTGCCCCGCCTTCAGCGGCCTCTTCCGCCCTGCCAGTACTCCTTTAAAGAACCCGTCGAACTTCTTACGAGCTAAACTTTCGGTCCAAAGAGGAAAGCAGAGTTAAGACCTGGGCCCTGGGCCCTCCTGATGTCGTTTCTCGTCGTCCTCGACGCCGTGTCGTCGTTCATCTTTCCGCTTCTCTCGCCTTCCCCGCTCCGTCCTTCTTTTGGCTTCTCCTCCCCCCTTGTGGGGCCGGTCCCTTCTGCTTGTTGGTGAACGCTGCGGTTTCCGCTCTCGCTTGCGGGAGTTGGGAACCGTGGCGATCGCCTCCTGTGGCCTGGCGTGGTCTCCCGCTCCCTCCTGTGCCCTTCGGGGCCTCCTCCGATCGTCAGCTGCTTGCTGTTGGCCTGGGTTGGGTTGGTCCGAGATTCGCACCGTGGTCGAGAGAGGACCATTCGGGGCTCCCGCCGCGGGGCTTCGTTTTTTTCTTCGAGTGCACGGTCGGTCGCACGTTTTCTGAGGTTCTTCGGAGGCGTGGTTTTTCGGGTCGCTCGGTCTTCGGCCCAACGCCGTTTCGCCGCCGCCGCCTTCTCCTCCTCCTCTTCCTCTTATTATTATTCTTCCTCCTCCTCCTTCTCCTGCTCCTCCCCCTTACTTTCGAAAAGCAGAAGAAGGGCATACACATAATTCCTCGGAGTTGCGCGCGTGTTTCTTGAATCGTCGCTGGGTTCTTTGGCGGCGCCTCCAGCGCCACCCTGGGCGCGCTCCGTCCGGCTGGGGGTGGGTTTTCGCCGCCGATCCAAGAAATCGGCGCGGACCCGCGGGAAATTTCGCTCGTGCCCTGTTCTGGTCCCTCAGCACAGGCTGGCCGCCCGGCTACTGCATTCGAAATTCTTCGTGCTGTGAATGCCCTCCCTTTTCCTCCGCCCCCCGCGGCCGCACTCCGCTTAAGTCCCCTCCTCGTGCCCCTGGACCACGAGCACCTGCGGCAGCCTGGCTCAGGACAGCGCGCGTGCGGATCGTCAGTGCCCCGCTGCGACGTAAGTTTTTTGTTCCCTCTGGTGGTGGATGTGGGCATCTGCCCGCCCGCACGGACTGGCAGTTGAGCGACGCAAAACGACAGGGGCGTCCTCACCGACGCTGGCGCGTAAGAGTTCCGCGCAAGGTCGCGCGTAGGTGCCCTCTTCTCCAGTGTGGCGTACCACGCCGGCGGCCCGCGCAAACCGCCACGTAAGGTCGCTATGCCATCTCGCGTAAAACCTGCTCATTTTCGTCGTTCGCATGCTTTCGGGCGTCCGCGCGCAGTTTTTAGAGCCGGCGCTCTGGGCCCCAGGGCGGCGCGACTTGTGTTCCGCTCCCAGGGTGTTTTTTTTGGGGCGGGGGGGTCAAAGGGCAACGTTTGAGGGCGCTCTCGGGGTGATGAGATGCGTCGCCCTCCAGAAGTGGTTCCGCGCGGGCGGGCAGGGGTCCACCCTCAGCCGTTTTACGAACCCCCGGGGCCCCAGCTCCGCGCGGCAGTGGGGGTGGGCATGCCTCGGAGGTGACGATAGGGGCGAATAGCGCAGGGGCGGACGTTACACGTATTCGCCCAGGAGCCTCGCCGAAAGCATGGACCATCGGCGCCCCTGGACACATGTATTGCTTCCCCCTGGGCTATTCGCCCCCCTCGTCGCCTCCGAACGCCCAGGGGGCACAGGTGCGGCTGCTCTGCGGCGCGCGCGCGGACGTGAACCAGGCCAAACCAGACGGGAGGACCCACACCCGTATCAAATCATGGGGGTCTTTTGTATCCTTGCATTTCTGATTTCAGGGTGCGTTAGCGTGCGCTAGCGTCTGCCAGTCGCCGAGAGAGTGCCGATTCGGAGCCTCGACTTGCGCCGACCAGCGCCGCTCGGGCCCATCTGGCGCCCAGTCAGCGTGGACTGGCGCCGGGCTCGCAGGAGCCATCAGGACGGCACTGTATGGCAGGCTCCCATGAGTTGCCGCAGATCTTGCACCCAGTAGTCGAAGGCCAGACTGTCAGATTGGATTGGGCCCCAAGGGCCAATCTGGCCCGGCCAAACTGGATGATTTGGGCTATTCGCCAGACCAGATTCGCATCGGCCCCCTCGCCAGACTGCCCCCGTTTGCCAGATTGGGCCTGCCAGATTGGCGCCAGATTGGCTTCGACTACCCAGCCTGCGTCTCCTCCTCCTCTGCCTCCCCCACCCCTTCCACGGGAGGAGGAGGAGCGGGGAAAACGGGAGAGCTGGACGATGGCGGGTGGAGGTGCATCTCCTCCCCCCCTCCCCCTGCCCCCCATCCCTCGTCCTCGTCCCTCGCCCCTCGTGCCCCTCTCCCTCCTCCTCCTCCTCCTCCTCCTCCTCCTCCTCCTCCTCCTCCTCCTCCTCCTCCTCCTTGGCTTCGACTACCCAGCCAGGACCCCGCTGTTCGCCGCCGCCGCGGGCGGCCACGCCGCCGTCGCGCGCGCCCTCTGCGAGGCCGGCGCCGCCACCGCGGCCGCGCTCGCGGACGGCTGCACGCCGCTGCTGGCCGCCGCGTGCAACGGCCACGGCGCCGCCGTGCGTGCGCTCTGCGCCGCCGGCGCGGACGTCGAGCTGGCCAGGCGCGGCCGCCCGCGAAGCGGAGGAGGAGGAGGAAGGAGGAGGAGGAGGAGGAGGAGGAGGAGGAGGAGGAGGAGGAGGAGGAGGAGGAGGAGGAGAGGAGGAGGAGGAGGAGAGGAGGAGGAGGAGGAGTGAGAGAGGGAGGAGAGGAGGAGGAGGAGGAGGAGGAAGGAGGAGGAAGGGAGGGAGGAGAGGAGGAGGAGGAGGGAAGGAGGAGGAGTGAGAGGAGGAGGAGGAGGAGGAGGAGGAGGAGAGGGAGGAGAGGGAGGAGGGAGGGGGAGGCGGAGGAGGAGGAGGAGGAGGAGGAGGAGGAGGAGGAGGAGGAGGAGGAGGAGGAGGAGGAGAGGGAGGAGAGGGAGGAGAGGGAGGAGGAGGAGGAGGAGGAGGAGGAGGAGGAGGAGGAGGAAGAGGAGGAGGAGGAGGAGAATGAGAATGATAATGCGCTATCACGGAGTGATTCAAGAGAAACTACCTCGACGCCCTTGCTGCCTGCTGGGCTCGAGTCAGGGCCTTTGGCCACTCGCCACGATCGATCCTCCAGAGATATTCCCTCCGAGAATTGGTGATCTGGCGGGGCTGACAAGGGCCCTGGGGACCTGGAGTATTGTGCTCACTACTATAGAAACCGCAACCGCTGCAGAACCATATGCCGAGAGTGCGATGAAAAACCATACAGTGTGTGTCGTGCACCCAGCCCCCACCTATATGTAAGTGCTGACCGACAGGGAGGTGGAAAACATTAGCATTCCCAGGAGTGAGCAAGAAACAAGGGGACCGACGCCACCGCAGTACAGCGGCGTCTGTGGCAGATCCCCGACAACGACGGCACCTCTTGCCGCTCTCGTCAAGAGCGTGGCCCGTCTCAAACGCACTGACAATATTGACCGATGGCGGAGGAGGGGGAGGAGGAGGAGGAGGAGGAGGCCCCGCCTGTGTCGAACTCCTCGAGGTGGGGGACTTCGAAGCAGCTGCAGCGTTGAGGGCCTCAAGGCCCGCGCGGAGGAGTCGACGCCTGAGAAAGAGGGCATCTTTTTCCACCGTCCAGATCCTCGCTCGCAATTCTTCGGGGAGTCGGGCGGACACCGCGGCCTCTCCAGCCAGTATATCCGCCACCGTATTGCCAATGGTGAGAAACAGTGGCACTTTTCCATCACGTGCCGCTTCTGCCGTCAGATGGGATGCAACCTGGAGAACAACAATCTGTGACGTGTCACGGTTCTGGTCCTGAAGTTGCTTCCTAATCGTGTCCCAGATCCCCTTGTTGTCCCCCGATGGCTCAAGATAATGACCAGCATACCATCCGTCGGCGACAGCAGAGTTATCTGTAACATAGATAAGGGATCCCGTACTATAAGAAATAGCCAAGAGGAGCCCATAGAGTTCCCCACGCGGTACAGTTTGTCTACGTCCAGGGAGAGGCCCAAGAATAATAGACCCAACACATGGGGGGCTATAGGAGCTCATGGTATTGACTGCGATGCCGATGCGACGAAACCGAGGTTCGCGAGCATCGGGCCCGCCACTAGCATCTCCGAATACAACCAGAGGTGCATCTTCACAACCGTGGCCCCAAAATGAGCCGTGCAACTGATCATCATTCGTCATGTTAGTGAATTGCCAGGCAGGGTCGTCCGAGGGGAGTGGGATTGCCGTCCACGCCCGCGGGATCAAACCTCGTAGCCAGTAGCAAGCCTCACTCTCGTGCAACGACTGTGCGCGAGGGGCCAGATAGTCGGAGTCGACGAATGCCTTCGCATCTTTATTACACCTGCAAGTCCAAAAACGGTGAAACGCCGTCTCGGCACCATCGCGGCACCGATGGCAGGTAACATCTATCTTGGTCCTGGTCTCATCAACAACTCGCTGCCGCGGCCAGAACCCCCCCGTAGCTATATTGACCATAACTTCTGCGAGCCTATGCCCATTCTTGCACAAGCGGAGCCCCTGGATGA